TATCGCTGCTCGAATTTGATGAACTGCGCACGCTTGTATGCCATATCGGGGCAATTATTAATTCTCGCCCATTGTTATCCCTTTCAGAACATCCAGCAGATCTCGATGTCTTGACTCCAGCTCATTTTCTTGGTGCTGCTCCGCTGTCAACGTACGTTGAGCCTGATCTGACGAAGCTCAATTTCAATCGGCTGGATCGATGGCAGCGCGTGACGTACTACCAGCAGATATTTTGGGCTCGCTGGCGTGAAGAATACTTGACGCTTCTTCAACAGCGCTCAAAATGGCGAGTGTCGCAGCCTGGGCTCTCCATTGATGATGTCGTTCTGGTCAAGGACGAGAATTTGCCGCCCCTCAAATGGCCATTAGCAAGGGTGGTCAGCCTCATCAGCGGCGCAGATGGCGTGTCGAGAGTTGCAGAATTGAGGACTTCCACTGGAACCATTCGGCGAGCCGTTCGCAAATTATGCCCGCTGCCGAAACAAGATGTTGTTGAAGACCCTGGTTCTTCAACAGGGGGAGTATGTTTGGTCATCCGGCCAAAAACAGCCAAAACCAGCAGCACATCATAGTTAATAAGTAACGTAAATAACTCAATGCAAAGTGCTCGTTTTCTTGTCACTTGCTTTGCATAGCAAGCCGAGCACTTAACGTTTCCTTTTGTTGCTTGCCATAAATTTGCATAGGCTGCTGCGCAGCCGCCACATATGTACTAGTTATTGTCGCTAACTCTGCAAGTCAAGTTCGTTTTTCGTTATCGCATCTGGTACGGAGAAGCTTAGCTTTCCGTCTACCAGCATAAACTTTGTAAATCTCGGCGATCGCAAAATAAACATTTGTGCACCTCTTTTAAATTGAACAACTTCGTTTTCGCTTATTTTGCAATTATTTCGCCAACATAATTTCGCATATTTGGAATCATAAAAAAGCTTATGATTATACACTATTTATGGATTACGTAAATAAACAAGATAAAGTATCCTAAGAACAAACTGCTTAATTATGACTCATCGGTTCATATATATATTGAACTGATTAGAGCCACATATTTTATTTATTGAAAGAGTATTCGGATTACATTTTTTAACAAATGATCTACAATAAAATCTAAATGGAATTCAATAAGTTCATTTTAGGATGAAAGTATTTAAGAAAACGATAAATGAAAAAAATGAAGGAATAAGTTAATTGATGGGGAGAAAAACAGCGGGAATATGAAAATAAACAATCGACTCTCTAAAGATTATTAAAGATTACCGATAACAACAGCAATTTATTAATCAAATCCATACAGAAACTGGTTGTTGTTATAAATATCAACTCATTCCAACTAAACATATTTTGACATCTTGGGTGGACTGACAAAGACAATTACATGATTCTCAAAATAAAAGCAGTTCCTCTGAATTCCTTAAGTCTATTGTTAGAAATTCAATTTAACAACCGGAAATTTAATTCGTCGTATTTAAATTTAGCGCCGACTTATTTCGCCACTGGCGCTCATAATGGGGTGGAATTAAAAGGTTAAGAGTTAGTTGTAGAACAAGATTTAAAAATAATATTTTCAACTTTTATCCCTGTCGCCTATGACCACTGGATGTGCTGGAATCTGCAAATTATTGCCGTTACTCGTATAACTGTACCGGACAGAGAGCCGGAAGCTGAAACTTTCGGTGCTCGCTGCTGAATGGCGACCAACGTTGTTGCGGCTACGTGACAACGGAAGTAGGAAATGAATGTAATTTGAGGCTGTTGTTGCTTTTGTTGTTTAGTTCGAAAATTGCGGAGCTCAATTGTTATGCTATTGTCTACATTATAAGGAAGCTTCGGGGCAGGCAACGTTCGGTTTCATTTTGTTTTCCACATTATTTTGGTGGCTGGCTAAATCGTTTTGTTGCCTCGGGTTGCTTAAATATTGCCGTTGTTGTTTTACATTAATGGTTACTAGCTGTTGTTGTTGTTGTGTGCGGTTTTAAGTTCAACAACTGACACTTGAATGTGGTAAATACCTATATAGCTATATATTTGTATAAAGCCTCCCAATGCGATACCCTTCACACGAAGGACAATCTGTGTATGGATACCAAGAACTTATGAACCAAAACAATTAGGGATACCAAACTTGTTATGTAGACTTGTCTAGTTCAGATGTGGAACAAGTTAATTACACAACATACATATATTGGTGCATTGCTTTATTTAGCTGCTATAGTATCCTTTTTGCTTCTTACTAATTTGTCGCCAAACATTTTGTTGTGGTAGTATTAATAAGTTATTAATATCTAACCATATTCTGGTTTGAAAATCAGTCGTAGTACCAAGAACTTTTTGATTATCACGTCTACCAAAATTGTTACTTATTCGTCCGGTTTAGAGCCTCACCATAATTTAGATCCTGCGAAGTCGGTGGCCTTTTAGTTAAAGGAGGCACAAGTTAAGTTCATTGACTGACACTTGTGTGTGGTAAATACTGCTATACATTTCTATAAAGCTTCACAGTGTGATACGAATATTTTTCTATTTGCAAACGCAAAAGTTGAACCTACGGAAGTGATTGATTGGCTGTGCAGATCTGTCGTTTCGATAGAAAATAGCGCAGCAGGCTGAAATGAAAAACCAATAAGCAGCAACAGAGCAAGTCCGGTAACAAAGCCAGTCCTGCCCCACCACCCCGCTGAGCGTCTGGCTTTGACGAAAAGCCAGGCTCCTGTACACCATACCGGATATTTGACACAATTTGTTTGTCCCCTTTTTTCCTCTGTCTTTTGGTTGTTGTTGTCAGTAAAGTAGAAGCAACAACATCGTATAATATATTAAAGCCAAAAATCAAAAAGGCAACACATACAAATCGCAAAGTTGCCAACACATATTTGAAATTATTTACATAAGCGCATTAGGCGCTTTAAGTGCTCCCAAGTGGCCCTCCCCTACTCCTTCTGCTGTGTTCACTCATGTTTTTTGAGATTCTGGCATATTTGTGTGTTCTAGAACATGATTTGCCCGATTCCTTTGGGTGTCTGCTGCTCAGCTGCCTCGAATTGTTGTCTGACTTGTTAGCATTGACAGTTTCTCAATTGATTTGGCTTGCCACAGAATAGAATCGTCTTCAACTCGGCTCTTTTGGAATGCCATGACACATGAGCAGACAAATTAATGGTCTGAACTAGCAAACAAGCTGTTAGAGTGACAAATACACAAACAAGCTAACAGATAAACTGATATTAGAGCAACTTTGAAAAGTAAATAAATTTATAAACCAAGACAGGTAAATATTTTAGAACAAACAAAATACATTTGATAAAAATTTGTCAATTTAATCTACACTTCAGTTATGTTGTGGGCGACGGAAGAACAGAGTTGTTCAATGGGTCATTAGGTCAACACTATTTAGTTGCTCCTTCAAGACATGTTTAATAGTTTACACGTAAAGGAGCTGTTAAATTTCAAATAGATTCAGTGGAATCCTGTGCCATTTCAAAGTTTAATTAATTGGCATTTGCTTCAATGATGATTTAGTTAGTTTTTAGTTTATTTACAAACAATTTAAAACAACTTGTTTATAAAACTTACATCAAACAGAATTGTCATGCGCTTTAAAGCATGTACTAGTGATACATTTTTTCTGTGGAGGTATGTATGCCTAAATAGCTTTAATTTTTAATAAATTTGTTGAATAACAGCCTTGTTGTTTCCATTGAAGTGAGTAGCAATGTAAGCCTGTACATCTTACCAAATTTTTCACATTGCTTTTATGTGAAATCTGTGAAAATAAATTTGGTAAAATGAGAACGAAACCGAATGCTGAAAAGTGGCCAACACATCAATTGATGTCTTTGTGTGCTTACATGTTATTATTAATAAGTATATAGTAAACTATATGTGTTGTTGGTTTGTAGCATACAACGTACACTTTTTGGGTGAGCTGATGGTAGGGCAGATGTGTGAACGGAGCACGCGCTAGCATACCGGCCTCAGTTTAGTCGGCTGGGGGGGGAGTGGGTTATGTTGAGGGTACCGCAACACTGCGTGCTCACAAAGGTGTATTATTTTATTTATTTAAAATTCGCGTGCTGTTTTATGGGAGGAGGGAAATAAAGTTCTATCAATCAGCGATCAGTTATAGGGAGGAAAAGAAGGAAAAGGGGGGCAGAAAGTATTAAGAGAAGAAGCTTGCTACGCTAGGAGCCATAGTGGCGAAATGAGCTCGCAATGGTGGTAATGAGCGGCTCGAGTAACCCCACCCTTCCATGATCGTCATGCTGCATCTACAATTATTGACGATCCCTAAGCACACTGCGGATTCCTAAATTGGCTCACGGACGGCACACATGATTCCCGAATTTAGACACTTACGTCGATTTCATTATAAATTTATTCATATTAACAAGAAAAAACAACTAGTTCTAATAAGTAAATAAACAGAAAAAAAAATTCAGGGAGTTTCTCGCTTCATCGATAATCACTATAATCCATATTAAAAAAGGGAAACACAATAATAAAAGTAATAGCAATAATAATTAATAATAGTAGTAATAATAATAACAGGAAATACAATAATTAAATACAAATTCCACGAAAGAATTTGAACAGTGTATAAATGTGCATAGCAAAGAAAAAATAATGAAGTTCGGTATTGGCCTGTATTTAAATTATGCTGTCCAAAAAAAAAAATGGATTTCAATTTCGAATATACAATCCGCAAAATAAGAAGCAAAAAAAATATATATATATATATGGAGAATAAGGTGGGGGGGAAAAAAAAAAAAAAATATATGCACAAACGAAAATTGCATATGTTTTGTGCAGTAAAATGTATTAATGCACTAAGGTCAATGACCGACTTAAAGCACACAGCTGACTACGATGTCGGCATTGCTTCGAATTTGCATTAGAATTTCAAGAGAGAGCTATTAAACATTGCGGTTTCTGTCCGCTTAAAATGAGCGCTTTAAGAGCGGACAAGGTAATCAAGTAGATAATAAAAAGAAGAGCGCACTTACGGTTTCGACTCCGAATCCAACGGCGAAAGATCTTTCGGCGGTGTTCGGCAGGCTTTGCTGAAAAAAAAATTGTTGTTGTTCCGTTTCTTCGGTTTCTTGCCTTATTTAAATGCACTCATTAAAACACTCATTTTATCTTAAACAGAGAACAAAAAAAAAATAATAAAAAAAAGCAAAAAAAAAAATAATATTTACAATATCTACGCTCGTTAGTTGTAGGCAGGAACGACCAAAAATAAATACGACTACCAATCTTGGCTTCACTCGGCGCTTACAGATTGCGGCACTGCCTAACCTCACTCTCTTATTTTTCTTTGCACTGCAGGCACATTTTAAAGGTAATTTAACCTATTGGCAAATTAATATTTTTTCTGCGGCGTAAACAAAAAATATATGAAACCGGGAAAATATAAGAAATCAGGAAAACATGTAACGCTAAAACCTAATTCGGCGGTTTTCCCATTATCACTGTCCACTTTAGAAGGCGTTTAAATTAACCCCGAAAGTAATTATTTTGCGACTGGCCGTAAGCACAGGGTCCGCCGGCGTATACATCCGCGCATCAACTGCTGGGCTTAGAGTTCTCGGGTCCGCCAGTGAGTACGAAAATAGTTCGTTTTTTCGGACAAGAATTTAAGAGCGGCTTAATAAATAGCTCCAGACGTAGTAGAATGCATCGTACATAGGTATATGCATAGGTATATAGGCTCCAGACTTAGTGCCGAATCTAAATGTGAGCGAACAGAAAAACGGCAACTAAGTAATAGGCACAGAAAAACAAGCCTGAAATTAAAATATTTACCCTGTTCGGCATCAACTTAAGAAGAATTCCTTTGCCAACGCAAATGGCATCCACGCCAAAAAACAGAAAATAGGCAATAGCTCTAACTTGCACTTAACACAGGCGTTCACTTCTATACCAACATTTGTAGTTTCTTTTTTTTCCTTAACAAAAGTTGTTTTTTTTTTTCTTTTAAATTTGTTGCACGGGAGCAATTATTTCTTGCCCAAATTAAAATTTTAATGCAAGCACATTTATTTTTGCTATGCGAAAAAGTACGTCTGTTCCGTTCGGCGGTTCAAAGAAAAAGAAAGTGGCTAGTTCCAACCTAGGCTCATTAGCCCTTCCACGGAAGTGGTTGAGGTGGCAGTTGTCAAAAGAAAGGTGCAAGGAGAACACTGACATTGACAATTCAGCCAAAAGAAAGGAAAAGAGAAATGAACCTTGCCACGACCATAGATGGCGCTCGTATGCAACTAATCTACTACTAAGAGTAACCATAGATTCTACTACTAAATGTAAAACCGAATCTACTACTAAATATAAAGGCAAAAAAAAAAAAATAAATAATAAAATTTTACTACAAAATAAAAATAAATAAAAGCAAAGTTATTAATATTTGCGACAAGCGCTCCTACAATTCCCCCCGGCCAAAATCACACTTGGGGAATGCAATTCCACAACGGGTGATCCACGCTTGTCGAAACATCTCTTGCTTGGACCAAACTATTGCTTAATATCTTTAGCATGATATTTCCCAACCACATTTCCTTGCAGGTCCTCTAGCTCGTAATAACTATTTCCAAATTTTCGTTTTATTCTAGCTTTTACAAATGTAGGCGCTAGTTTGGCATTAAATCCTTTACTAAAATTGCTTTGCTGGAAATTCCTACGGTACACTTCCTGACCTATAACAAAAGAAACTGGGCGACATCGCAAGTTATAAGTATTTTCATTTCGGCTATGCTGCTTCCGCATTGCAACTGCAGCCTTGTTTCGCATCAGCTCCAATGAATCATCACGATCAAATCGGATCGTTCGATCTTCTAACAACTCGAGCTCGCGCAACAGTTTATATGAATTCCCTTCGGTAATCATGTGCTGCCCAAAAACCAATCTATAGGGAGTATTGTTCACGGCGGAATGCCAACTTGCCCGCAGTGCGCAACTAATGCTACTTAACTTTTCGTCCCAGTTTGACTGATCAGGATGAATATAAGATTTAATTGCCGTCAAAACTGAGCGATTTACCCTTTCTGAAGCATTCGCTTGCGGAGCGTATAACGCTGTATATGCGTGATGTACACCATATCGCTGTAGCAAGTCTTTAAAGATACGGGACCTAAATTGAACTCCGTTGTCTGAGACTATAACTTCTGGTATCCCGAAACAATGGAATAAATCTTCTTCTAAGAACTTCAAAATGGCATCGGCTGTGATCTTCTTAACAGGCTTTAAAAAAGGGAATTTAGAAAAGTGATCCAGTACTATAAATATTCCTACATTACCGGATTTAGACCTGGGATACGGACCCAAAAAATCTACATACAACTTTTGGAAAAAACGCTGACTTTCACCCGTTTTGCCCAAAGGTGGACGGAGTACATAATTAGGATGTTTAGTGCTTTTGCACACTTCGCATCGATTGACGTATTCCTTTACATCTGTCACCATATTTGGCCAATAATAATGACGCCTAAGTTTTTCAAGCGATTTATTTATTCCACAGTGGGATGACAATGGGTCATCGTGAACTCTTTTCAAAACTTCAGGGATCAACTCTTTTGGGAGCCACAATTTCCATACCAAGTCATCTGCTATTCGCTCTCCTGAAGCATGTTCGCTTCGTCGATAAATAAACTTATCCACTATTTTTATGTCAGGTGTTCGAGCTTTCTGCTGCTCTAGCTTCGACCTCAGATCCTGATAACTTGGTGAATTGAAATGCGGATGCTGCAAATCTATAACACAACCCAAATCTATTGCAGACAAATCCTCTGTGAAGGTACGTGATAATGCATCTGGGACCACATTCTGACTACCCTTCCTATGTTGTATGGTAAATGAATACCCTTGCAATTTCAAGGCCCATCGCGCTAATCGACTGCTAAGATCTGACTGTGACATTAACCATTTAAGGGACGCGTGATCAGTTATAATTGTAAACTGCTGCCCTTCTACGTATGCACGAAACTTCTTAAGACTTAAGATAGCTGCCAAGCATTCTTTCTCTGTCACTGAGTATTTACGCTGACACTGATTCAATTTTCGAGACATATAAGATATTGGCACCTCATTTCCTTCGTTGTCTTTCTGCATGAGCACTCCACCTACTCCCGTATGACTTGCATCACAATGAATATAAAATGGAGACTTAAAATCGGGCGTGTGCAAAACAGGCGCTGTACACATGGCTGTTTTGAGCTGGTGAAATGCACATTCGGCTGCGTCAGTCCATATAAATTGTCTGGATTTCTTTAGGGCATCCGTAAGGGGAGAAGCTATTGCTGCATAATTCCTAATAAATTTATTGTACCAGCCAGTCATACCTAAGAACCGGCGTAATTGCTTAACAGACTTTGGAGTAGGATACTCTTTTATTGCAACTATTTTATGACCATCCATCGAAATGGTACCATGCCCTACAATATGGCCTAAATACTGCACTTCTGCAACACAGAAATTACTTTTTTGAACATTAATTGTTAAGCCAGCGTCGGCCAACCTTTTTGCTATGTCCTTCAGAACAGCAATATGTCTTTCAAACTTATCGGAAATGATGAGAAGATCATCCAGATAAACAAATACTTCGTTTCGATATTTGACAGGAACTATTCGGTCCATTAGTTTTGACATTGTGGACGGTGCGTTGGTAAGGCCAAAAGGCATTACCGTGAATTGGTAAAGAGCCCGCCCGGGAACGGTGAAAGCAGTTTTGTCCCTTGAACTGGCATCTAGAGGAATCTGCCAATAAGCATCTTTCAGATCCAGAGTTGTTATAAATTCAGCCTTGGGAAGCCGACTTAGTATGCCATCTATCAGTGGCATGGGATAAGCATCCTTTCTCGTCACTTCATTGACCTTTCGACTATCTAGACATAGGCGCACCTTTCCAGGCTTCTGTACTAGCACTACTGGGGACGACCATGCACTCTCTGACTCTTCAATTACTCCAAGGGCAATCATGCGGTCGAGTTCCTCGTACATCAGTTTCTCTACGGCCGGATAAACAGGATAATGCCTCTGTTTAATTGGTTTGGCATCGCCAACATCTATTATATGAGACAACAAGCTAGTTTTTCCTAACCCTTTCTCTACAAATGAAGGAAAACACTCAATGGCGTCCTTCAACGCTTTCTGTTGTTCGTTATTTAAGGGACGCTGTTCCACAGCAATATCTTTTTGCACGCTGGCGAGAGCAGCGGGGCAGTTGGACACCTGCTTCGATAAGCCCATTGGCAATAAATCAAACTCTGTCCAAAAATCTATTCCTAAGTACAACGGTTGATTTAGGGAGGGTACTAAATAAAATGTCAAAGCTTTACTACTTCCGAGATACTCAACTTTACAACGAATCTTTCCTACGATATTTTGCGTTTTACCATCGGCGGTACGCACACTGGACTCCATAGGCTTGTACGGCTGCCCAGAGTCTATCAACTTCTTTGCAAAATTTCCACCGATACAACTAATCGATGCTCCGGTATCCATTAAACCTATCATAGAACTACCAAGCATGCTGACTTCAGCATATGGCCTTAAATCATGACCGACTATGGCGGCGATCAAAGCTTGTTTTTCAATCTTCTTCCGCTTAAAATATTCCTTCTGTCGCAAGCGAGAACGAGGGATTCTCTTCTCCTTTATGGTTATTTTTGTAGATTTATGCTTTAGACGGTTATGTAGCAGTGATTCATAAGGTAAGTCAAGGGAAAAGGGATTAGTGGGGGCAGAACCGTCCACTATTCCGTATTGGTGGCCTTCGTCACTAGTTTGCGTACACTTTTCGGCAGTGCACGCTGCAAACAGTTTTTTGAAGCATTACAATTATAGCAAGATGGTTTATACGTATCTGGCTGTCCACAACCATAACAAAATACGCGTCGTTCAGAAACACAGTCCTGATACCGATGTCCCATTGCACGACAATTCCAACAGGACAAAGTCAACGCGGACACTTCATTGTCGCTTAGATCCGACTCTTCTAATGGCGCTTCTATTTCATGTACGGTGCGCTGTGGAGCAGTTCGCATTTTAGGCCCTGCAGGTTTAGCTAACGACTGCAAAAACGACTCACGCTTTCTTACTAGGTGTCGGAGCTGGGCTACACTAAATATGCGTTCATACAGAAGCTCATGTTGGATTTCTGGCAACAAGTTAGCTTGCAGTGTCTCTAGCAAGGCTGTCTCTGGCAAGGGGTTAGACAATTGGTCAGCTAGAAGAACTACTGACTCATAAAATTGGTCAAACGACTCATTTGGCTGTTGCTTTCTGCGACTCATGACAGCTCGAATATTGCTATCAGTTCGCTCATCTTTAAACTGTATTCGCAACTGAGTACACAAATCCTCCCATCGGATGGATTTAACGCTTTTATGATAGCGCCAAAACCAGTCACTAGCACTACCATCAAATAAATTACTGACGTGACGTGCTAACAGGTCAAAATTTGCATCCAGTGTTTGAATAGTTAGTGCCTCTGCGCGGTAAATAAAATCATCAACGGACAAAGATGATCGTCCAGAAAATCGTAATTTCCAATTCAGAATGATCTGGCTGATTCGATCTGGACGTATATCAGAACGTGGAGAAGTGCGAGGATGTTCTGACTGACTTGACAATCGACATGGCTGCTCATCCTGTGGCGGAAGAGTATGTGTATCCCCATTTGTTACTTGACTCGGACTGTCATTTCGGATTGCATGAAAACCCTCGGCTATAGCCTCTCTCAACATATTTGTCTGTCGTAATGTAGCTTCTGACAGTATTTCCGTTTGTCGGATAGCGGCTGCTGCCATTGCCTCAGCTACAATTTGCTGTAATTCACTCATATTCGGTGAGGGAGCCGTAGAAGTTGTAGGGGCTGCATCTAGTGGCAACTGCGGACCAGTAGATCGCACATTCGAGTGTTCCCTGGGTGGAGCATCTATTGCTTTAGAGCCACTTCTCGTTTGTGCTGGCATTATTTCTTGTATATTCTGTATAGACGGAGATAACTGGCCTAAACTAGAACCATACAGTTGACCCAAGGTAGAACCTTGCAAGGGAGCTTGGCAAACAGGGCAAACTTTCTTCGAGCCTACTCTGGTGTTTACACAGACTTTATGAAAAGTGTGACCACAACAATTAGTTATCAACTGAGCCTCAAACTGCACTGATCGGAGGCAAATAAAGCAGTCAATATCGCTCAAAGTCTCGTTTGATTCGTCGCCGCTGCGATTTAAAGACATTTCCGCCAACTCTCAGATTGGCCAAACCGTACAAACAGTTGATATGTACACCCAAAAATATCAAAGAAAAAGAATAACAATATTCCTTTGTAGCGAAAAAAAAACTTTAATACTAACAGTAAATACCAATTAAAATCAAAACTAAAACATTCGGAAATCATGAAACGCTTTCATGAGCAATGTAATGTAGCAAGTGAAAAAGAAACCAGAAGACAGAAAATTGGCACAAGTACCACGGACAGTATACAGCAAACGGCAGCGCAACTGATATCCAGCAATACCTATGCTCTACATAAAATAGTATGCAGAATGCTCAGCTTTCAATATAGGAGTAATATTCTAACGAGTACTTATTAATCCAAGGAATAAGGTAATTAAGTCAAGGCACCAGCAAAATAACTACACATTCCTGTAATAATTCTCGAATACTATAACCAACAGCTTCTAGCCGAACAAGGAGGAAAAAAAAAGTTAACAGTTGAAAGAACGGACATTATCCTAAAATATTGTGCATTCGCATTTACATATAATTAGCGCGGTATATGCAGTATATCCAGCACTGGTCAAATAATGTAGCTCGCACATAATACAAAAGATAATGGTAAATAGGACAAGGGTTAAGAGTTGTGCCGGCAATGAACTTATGTTGAAAGTATCACTGATCCAATACACAGCGTAGGGTGTAACTAATGTTCTGAATTTAAATAAGCGGTAGGCCGTAGATTGCATCCACATAGAACCTAAATCCAGCAATACTTTTGCAGAATTATCAGAAACACAGGAAAAAGAAGTCATCGGTTATCTCATGATTGTGGAGCTGTAACTGATCTAGAAATACAACATGTCCAACCAATCTAACCAAATGCGCAAGCGTTTACAGCTTCTATTGAGGCAGGGCTGGAAGTTATTTGAAACCACTACAGTGTCCTCCGCACTCAAGTACGTAAACTGGTATTTGGGAGAAACATTTAATTTAACCTACACTGATTGATTTAAGTCAGCTGTTAATGACTGAAACTAGGATGGGGCTTGCTGAACCAAGCTTATAAGTTGATAAGCTAAAAACATAAACTAATAAAAGAAATCTTGTAAATGGCTTAGAATGTAGCATTGGGATAGAAACAGGCCTCTTAGATTGGCTCCAAATAATTAAAATACTAAAAAGAAATATTGTTTCTGGCTTAACATTTAGTATTGGTTCAGAAACAGGCAAATAAGTAAAATATTAAAAAGAAATAGTGCAACTGGCTTAACATTTAGCATTGGTTCAGAAACAGGCCCCTCACGTTGGGCGCCAAAAAATAATTAAAATAATAAGAAGAAATATTGTAGCATACAACGTACACTTTTTGGGTGAGCTGATGGTAGGGCAGATGTGTGAACGGAGCACGCGCTAGCATACCGGCCTCAGTTTAGTCGGCTGGGGGGGGAGTGGGTTATGTTGAGGGTACCGCAACACTGCGTGCTCACAAAGGTGTATTATTTTATTTATTTAAAATTCGCGTGCTGTTTTATGGGAGGAGGGAAATAAAGTTCTATCAATCAGCGATCAGTTATAGGGAGGAAAAGAAGGAAAAGGGGGGCAGAAAGTATTAAGAGAAGAAGCTTGCTACGCTAGGAGCCATAGTGGCGAAATGAGCTCGCAATGGTGGTAATGAGCGGCTCGAGTAACCCCACCCTTCCATGATCGTCATGCTGCATCTACAATTATTGACGATCCCTAAGCACACTGCGGATTCCTAAATTGGCTCACGGACGGCACACATGATTCCCGAATTTAGACACTTACGTCGATTTCATTATAAATTTATTCATATTAACAAGAAAAAACAACTAGTTCTAATAAGTAAATAAACAGAAAAAAAAATTCAGGGAGTTTCTCGCTTCATCGATAATCACTATAATCCATATTAAAAAAGGGAAACACAATAATAAAAGTAATAGCAATAATAATTAATAATAGTAGTAATAATAATAACAGGAAATACAATAATTAAATACAAATTCCACGAAAGAATTTGAACAGTGTATAAATGTGCATAGCAAAGAAAAAATAATGAAGTTCGGTATTGGCCTGTATTTAAATTATGCTGTCCAAAAAAAAAAATGGATTTCAATTTCGAATATACAATCCGCAAAATAAGAAGCAAAAAAAATATATATATATATATGGAGAATAAGGTGGGGGAAAAAAAAAAAAAAAAAAATATGCACAAACGAAAATTGCATATGTTTTGTGCAGTAAAATGTATTAATGCACTAAGGTCAATGACCGACTTAAAGCACACAGCTGACTACGATGTCGGCATTGCTTCGAATTTGCATTAGAATTTCAAGAGAGAGCTATTAAACATTGCGGTTTCTGTCCGCTTAAAATGAGCGCTTTAAGAGCGGACAAGGTAATCAAGTAGATAATAAAAAGAAGAGCGCACTTACGGTTTCGACTCCGAATCCAACGGCGAAAGATCTTTCGGCGGTGTTCGGCAGGCTTTGCTGAAAAAAAAATTGTTGTTGTTCCGTTTCTTCGGTTTCTTGCCTTATTTAAATGCACTCATTAAAACACTCATTTTATCTTAAACAGAGAACAAAAAAAAAAAAAATAAAAAAAAAGCAAAAAAAAAAATAATATTTACAATATCTACGCTCGTTAGTTGTAGGCAGGAACGACCAAAAATAAATACGACTACCAATCTTGGCTTCACTCGGCGCTTACAGATTGCGGCACTGCCTAACCTCACTCTCTTATTTTTCTTTGCACTGCAGGCACATTTTAAAGGTAATTTAACCTATTGGCAAATTAATATTTTTTCTGCGGCGTAAACAAAAAATATATGAAACCGGGAAAATATAAGAAATCAGGAAAACATGTAACGCTAAAACCTAATTCGGCGGTTTTCCCATTATCACTGTCCACTTTAGAAGGCGTTTAAATTAACCCCGAAAGTAATTATTTTGCGACTGGCCGTAAGCACAGGGTCCGCCGGCGTATACATCCGCGCATCAACTGCTGGGCTTAGAGTTCTCGGGTCCGCCAGTGAGTACGAAAATAGTTCGTTTTTTCGGACAAGAATTTAAGAGCGGCTTAATAAATAGCTCCAGACGTAGTAGAATGCATCGTACATAGGTATATGCATAGGTATATAGGCTCCAGACTTAGTGCCGAATCTAAATGTGAGCGAACAGAAAAACGGCAACTAAGTAATAGGCACAGAAAAACAAGCCTGAAATTAAAATATTTACCCTGTTCGGCATCAACTTAAGAAGAATTCCTTTGCCAACGCAAATGGCATCCACGCCAAAAAACAGAAAATAGGCAATAGCTCTAACTTGCACTTAACACAGGCGTTCACTTCTATACCAACATTTGTAGTTTCTTTTTTTTCCTTAACAAAAGTTGTTTTTTTTTTTCTTTTAAATTTGTTGCACGGGAGCAATTATTTCTTGCCCAAATTAAAATTTTAATGCAAGCACATTTATTTTTGCTATGCGAAAAAGTACGTCTGTTCCGTTCGGCGGTTCAAAGAAAAAGAAAGTGGCTAGTTCCAACCTAGGCTCATTAGCCCTTCCACGGAAGTGGTTGAGGTGGCAGTTGTCAAAAGAAAGGTGCAAGGAGAACACTGACATTGACAATTCAGCCAAAAGAAAGTGTTGAGCACTCTCCAAAGGGTCCGTGAATAGCAAAACGACAACCAACCCAACTTCACTTGGCAATTATAATGAAAATCTTGAGCGGTTGTGGTGGTGTTTTATTATCTATAAAGTAGTTTTGTTTTACAAATTATATATTTTTACGCGCTTACATACCAATCCTTTCCCTTCATCTTGAATACTGACGCGATAGTTCGATAATTAATTCTAAACTAATGATCGAATATTACAGAGTTTCATAAACAACTAATCGGCAAGTACTTTCAAATTCAAATTAAAACCAGTACAAATTCAAACTAAAATTAATTTGTAACATTCCGGCCCCCGTGAATCGACAAAGGCGGAGCCGGAGATTCACCAAAAACGTCGAGGACTGCCAGCTTAGATGCTGGTCTTTGAAGCGTTGTAGTTCCCGTCTTCACTGAAGCGCTGCGTACTTGTCCATCTCGAGCTAGTTGCACTGCAGTTACTCTACCTCGCTTCCACTGGCTTCGGCTTTCAGACTCATCGCAGATGATTACGATGTCTCCAACTTTAATTGGTTCCACGCGTTGAAACCACTTGGTTCGGCGAGTCAATGTTGGCAGGTATTCTAAAATCCATCGCTTCCAAAATGTCTGTTTCAGCTGTTGTCGTATTTGCCATTGTTTTCTCAAGCATTGCCGCTCGTCAATATGCGGCGTTTGAATTAGGTTAGGGCAACCAATTAAAAAATGATTAGGAGTGAGAGGTTCTGCTTCGGAATCTTCAATAGGAATATGTGTTAATGGCCGAGAATTAATCAAGTTTTCAGCTTCTATTAATAAGCTCTGCAAAGTCTCAACTTGCGGTACCTTTTGTTTCAATGTAAATGCTAGTACCCTTTTAACACTGCGCACCATGCGCTCCCAAGCACCGCCAGCAGCAGGATTACCAGGTGAATTAAACTCCCATTCAATGCCGCGCCGGCCACACTCTGATGACATCCCATTCACGGCTTCAATCCAGTGTATTTTGCTTGCACCAATAAAGTTTGTTCCCTGGTCGCTTCTAATTTTCTGCGGTAAGCCTCTGCGGCAACAAAAATTTTGCAAACAAATAATAGCAGAGTCCGATGAGAGATCCTTAGCGAGTTCCAAATGTATTGCTCTAGTGGTCATACAGGTGAACAAAGCAACCCAGCGTTTCTCTTGACGTCTTCCAATAGCAACCAACAAAGGACCAAAATAATCTAATCCAGTATACGTAAAGGCTCTTACATATGGTGAAAGTCGATCTATGGGCAGCTGACCCATCAATGGTGGCTTCGGACATATGTACGTATTTTTGCAAACTTGGCAACTTGACTTTACTTTATTGACCAAGGCTCTAACAGATGGTATCCAAAATTTTGTTCTTATATTTGATATTATAGTTTCCATATTCTGATGCTTACATTGTTCGTGAAAGTGCTGTGCAATTAAATATGTCAACTTATGATTCTTTGGCAATATCAAAGGTCTTTTTACATTGTCATCCACGCAGTTGGCATTGTTAATTCGACCGGATACACGCATAACTCCATCTTCGTCCATTACTGGGGTTAGGCAAACTATTTTACTGGCTTTTGGTACGGATTGTCCGTTCTGAAGTGCGGCTACTTCGGCTCTGAAACAATGACGCTGAACCAGGCGGCATAAAAGCTTTTCAGAAAGGTGTAATTCTCTTGCTGATAATATCAACGATGTCTGAAGACATGCTGAAGTTTTTCCAATTCTGTTTTTGAACGTGTCCACGACTCTAAGAACATAGGCGTACACTCTTATTAGCTTTTCGTATTTAGATGTTTTTTCAATTAAACTAAATATTGGACCATTCTCTTCTACGGTCGAAAACAAGAATTTTATTCGTTGTTCATTTTGTTGATCGTACTGCTTTATGTTCTCGTTTAAAACAGGCCATCTTTCGCTGTCGTTTCTTAGGAATAAAGGTCCTTCTAGCCATTTCTTTGATTTTACATTCGAGTCCATACGAGTGGCAACATCAGCAGGGTTTTGCGATCCAGGTATCCATTTCCATTGGCGTGCTTCAGTGCTGTCCAATATTTCTGATATGCGATGAGCGACAAATTGTTTATAACGGCGGCTGTCTGACTGAATCCAATTGATAACTGTTTTTGAATCGGACCATAAAAAGACTTCGTCTGGTTTTATGTCGTGGCTGTTGACAATAGCATCTTTAAGGCGAACTCCCAATACGGCTGCCTGAAGTTCTAATCGAGGAATAGATAGCTGCTTTAAAGGGCTACAGTTTGCTTTACCTAAAACGAAGGCAACTGTTACTTCGTCACAATATTCAATCCTCCAGTAAGCAACGGCGGCATAGGCTTCTTCGCTGGCGTCAACAAAAATATGCAGTTGTATTATGCAATTATTTTCCAAAAACTTCGAGTGATAACATCTGGGTATTCGTATTGAGTTTACTACGTTAATCATTGTATACCAATTATTCCATAAATTTTTTAGTTGATCGGGTATAACCTGGTCCCACTGCGTCTTAGAGCGCCACAGCTCTTGTATAAGTAATTTTCCTTTTATAACATAGTGTGCGATAAATCCAAATGGGTCAAAAATAGACATAATAATAGACAGTACCTGTCTCTTTGTGGGATATGATTTCATTTTAACGACTGATTCGGGTATTTTGTTAAATTTAAGAACAAAGCAAAATATATCGTCTTTTGCATTCCAGTGTAAGCCCAAAATCTTTTCAGTAATTGGCTTACATTGATTAAGGTCTGTTAGGTTTGCTAGCTGTGGTATATTTTTGTTATTTAACAAATGCATTAATTGTTCTGAGTTTGAAACGAAACCACGAAGCTCGAAGTTAGCATTTTCGTGAATTTCAATAACCTTTTTTACAACGGAATAAGCTTCATGTATATTACTAAAGCTATCAACATAGTCATCAACATAATGGCGTTCTATTATGGCTTGCACGGCTCTACTGTTTTTATCTAAATAGGTTTTGGCATTTGTGTTTTTAACATACTGCGCTGAACAAGGCGAACTGGCTGATCCAAAAATCATTACTTGCATAACGTATGTGCTAGGTGTGCTGACATTACTATCTCTCCACAGAAATCTTTGCGAATCCTGGTCCTTTTTTCGAATGGCGATCTGATGGAACATCTCCTTGATGTCTCCACATATGCCAATGCTTCCTTCGCGAAATTTCATTAAAATTGTTGGTAACGGTACGGGTTGGTAAGCGTCTGGTCCTTTCATTAAGTTCGTATTAAGAGACACTCCATTCATCATAGCAGCGGCGTCAAACACGAGACGAAGCTTGTTGTTTTTATTTGCGTTGCAGACGGCAAAATGTGGAAGGTACCATGTTCTGTGTCCTCTTTGTCTTTCTTCTTCTGGTAAAAGCTTGCGTACATATCCTTTTTTCAAGTAGTCCGATATCTTTTCCGTGTACCACTTCTTAAGCGCATTGTCATTATTCATTTTCTTTTCCATAGCTTCTAGGCGCTTCAATGCCATCTCATAGTTGTTTGGCATTTCAATATTATCTTCTTTCCATAATAATCCGGTTTCATAGTAATTTTCTATTTTCTTCGTTGTAACTTCTAAAATTTCTTCGGCTCTAATATCAGCATTAGATTTAACGGGCTTAAACGATTTTACCCCAAAGCTTTCTATATTCAAGTATTCGTTCATCAGTTCTTGCAGCTCTGTAGAAATGTCATTTTCGTTTACTAAGTGGCATACGATTTCTCCACCTTTTGATTCGTTAGAACCAAAAAGTGTCCAGCCCAGTTTTGTTTTGTGTACGGCAAAATTGTT